GAAATAGCATCAAATTTTAGAATTGGTCCAGTTTGGCACGAATTATGGTCTTCAAATGGCCAATGAAACCGACACACGCTGCCCGAATGCGGTATTTTCGCCCATTCCCGGCGAAGCGCTTGCTTGAGGTGATCGACACTTTGGTATTTATCAGTGCCAACCTTGCTTTCCAAAATACTCCAGACACAATAGCCCAACGGATTGGTATCCGGAGATTTTGGTAGCCATTGTACGCTGGAAACCATTAGTAACCATTCTTGGGTGGCGCGTGCTGAATGCGATAAGTTTAGAATAAGTTTAGATTTTATAGAATTGGTCAACTTTAGCACGAATTATAGCCTTCAAACGGCCACTGAAACCGTCACACGCTGCCCGAATGTTGCTCTGCGGTATTTTGGCCCATTCGCGGCGAAGCGCTTGCTTGAGGTGATCGACACTTTGGTATTTTTTAGTGCCAACCTTGCTTTCCAAAATACTCCAGACACAATAGTCCAACGAATTGGTATCCGGAGATTTTAGTAGCCATTGTACGCTTTTTGTAACCTTTCTTGGGTGGCGCGTGCTGAGTGCGAAAAGTTTAGAATAAGTTTAGATTTTATAGAATTGGTCAACTTTAGCACGAATTATAGCCTTCAAACAGCCAATGAAACCGTCACACGCTGCCCGAATGTTGCTCTGTGGTATTTTGGCTCATTCGCGGCGAAGCGCTTGCTTGAGGTGTTGGATACTTTCTTTTTTTTTAGAGCCAACCTTGCTTTCCAAAATACTCCAGACACAATAATCCAACGGCTTTTTATCCGGAGATTTTGGTGGCCATTGTGCGCTGGAAATGAAGCGAGGAACCTCACTTTGTAACCATTCTTGGGTGGCGCTTTCTGAGTGCGATGGTGCTGAGTTGGAATGTCCAAGGCCTGTTGCGTGTCCAAGGCTTTAGTACAACCTCCAGAATATTTTCGCGATAATATTCGATATTTATTCTGATGGCACGGTCAATTAATATGAGCGGAGAGCGACCATCTGCTGTTATGGCGGTCCACACCATCACCATGGTCGGCGCTTGAGTTCTGGTGGCCAACCGAAGGTGCACATTTTCAGCTGACCTCTTTGGCAAGTAAACACGATCACTTCGTTTGTTTACAAACTGTTGGACAACGAATGTTTTAATATCGGAGAAAACCAAATTTGGCAGTTCATTACTTTCGGCCAAGCGAAGCAACTCCTTAGCTCGTTTGAGTCTATTGTCCTTCTGTTGCGGTGTAAGTTCTTGCACTTTGTTAGAATTGTAATGGCTTTATGCCAAGCTCATTTTTCAATATTTGCCGAATGTAATGTTGTGATATATTCAGCTCACGAGCCATTTTCGGCCACTGTGACGCGGATTTCGATCAAGTCGCTTCTTTAATTTTCGAACCATTTCTGCTGATGTTGCTGTTTTCTTCCGTCCACTTCTTTGACGTCGGGCTACGCTACCAGTATAACTGTAATGAGCAACATTTAAATGCTGAAGTGCTCTAACGATAGCCACTTGTGGTTTTCCAACCAAATATAAAGTAATCACACTATAACGCTTGAATTCCATCGCCAATAACTTTTGGACTTCTGGAAAATTCTCACCAAAATGTTTTTGTAGGCTTGTAAACAATATAATGAGCTATCACTGGAATAATTTGAAGAGCTGTCGGACGAGTGGATCAGAAATGGCAGCATATATATATGGACTGAATTTTGGCACTTCCAATCGAATTCAGTCTAGAAGCAAGTTCATCAAATTTGCTGAAAATCGTTTCAGATGTACCTCTAGCTCCCATATATATGTTTCCGATTTTGTGTTTCAGTCCCTCACATTCGTAATATGCATTCGACAACAATGATATTTGGTACCAGATATTTTATAGAGCTCAGAAATACCTTTGCCAAATTTGACGAGAACGCCAAGATTTGGATATGGCTCCCATATATATCCTTAATCCGATGTCACGTTTATTGTGCAAATAATGGCTAATATTAGCCCAAATGAAGTGAATATGAATATTATTTGGTTGGTATAAAATATTAAAATGTCTCCGTCAAATTTTAGTGAAAATCGATTCAGATTTGGATATGCCTCCCATATATTGATTCTCTCTAAAAACAAATTATTACTGCACTAAAGCCAAATGTAATCTACTTCAAATAAATTCTTTTGTTACGGGAGCTGTACTAAATATGGAGAGTCGTTTAGGGTATCATATGGTCGGCCTCGTCCGACTTTTGATTTTCCCTTACTGGTTAGGAAGGTCATCAAAATAATAAAGAAAATCTATCACCTATGGGGAAATCTATACAAATCTAAAATCGAAATTTGTTCGAAATCGAAAATCGATTTTTATTAATAGCACAAAATCGAAAGATCGAAAACATGACTTATGTTTACAACTACATATCCCCACTACCAAAATACGGAGTAATATAAAATAACATCTCTTGTTGGTCAACCCGTATGACATGGTTTATCTCAGCTGAATTTCCGTTTCCTTTTCTACCGCAGATTTAATTAAGCCTGTGTCAAGTTACGTCTGTGTTACTTAAAGCTTCTTCAGCTTAGCTGACTTTATGTACCAATACATTTTTATGGTTTATTATTGAAATCATAAACATGCAAATTATTTTCCATTAATCAGATTCAATTTTGTCCAACAGTTTTTCTTTCTAAATTAAATTGCACAGCATTTGGTTGGACAAAAAAAACAGTGCGAAATGCTTCTTCCTTATCTTCTGAGGTGACTGGTGAATGGACGACGTAGACATCCTCCTGATGATGATAATAATAAAAATAATGCAATTCATTTGAATGATCCTTTCACTTATTTGCGTTTTTGTTTCCATCTAACTGCCACTGCTGAAATGAAATTGAAAGTTGTCTTCATTTTGCTTACAGTGCAGAGGCAGTAGCAGGCCAAAAGAGTTTTACGACTCTTGGCAGTAAATTAGGTCTCTTCAAAGAGGAAGGAGACCCAAAAAAAAAAAAAAGAATTAATAAAAAAAGCGTTGCTTTTTTATTACGATTTTACAGACTTTTAAGGAAGTTAGGTTAAAATATGAAAATTAAATTCCAAAATTTATTTTATGTTTTTGGCCAGGTTTGAAATTTATTGTACAGCGTGAGATGAAAAAACTGCAACCAATTTCAGACTGCTGTCATTTCTAAGCCACTCGTCCGACAGCTCTTAAAATTATTTCAGTAACAGCTCATTTATTTTTTTCAAGAGTACAAAAGCAATTTGGTGAGAATTTTCCAGAAAAAAAGTTATTCGTGATGGAATTCAAGCGTGATGGTGTGATTTCTGTATATTTGGCTGGAAAACCACAAGTGCCTTTCGTTGGAGCACTCCATCGAAACCTGCATCGCTGTGGCTCTTGAACTGAACATATCGCAATATTCCATTCGTCAAATATTGAAATATGAGCTCGGGGTAAAGCCATTGAAATTCCAAAAAGTGCAAGAACTTACACCGCAACAGAAAGAAAATAGACTCATAAGTGCTAAAGAGTCACTTCGCTTGGCCGAAAGTGCTGAACTGCCGAATTTGGTCCTCTCCGATGAGAAAACATTCGTTGTCCAGCAGTTTGTAAACAAACAAAATGATCGTGTTTACTTGTCAAAGAGGTCAGCTGAAAATGTGCACCTTCGGTTGGTCAACAGAACTCAAGCGCCGGCCATGGTGATGGTGTGGGCTGCCATAACAGCCGATGGTCGCTCTCCGCTCGTATTAATCGACTGTGGCATCCGAATAAATACCGAATAGTATTGCGAAAATATTCTGGAGGGTAAATTACAGTCTTGGCAAGCAAACATTTTGGCCGCAGACCTTAGACATTCCTAGAGGACTCAGCGCGCACCACCCAAGAATGGTTACAAAATGAGGTTCCTCACTGGAGTATTTTGGAAAGCATGGTTGGCACTGAAAAATACCAAAGTGTCGATCACCTCAAGCAAGCGCTGCGCCGGGAATAGACCAAAATACCGCAGAGCAACATTCGGGCAGCGTGTGACGGTTTCATTGGCCGTTTGAAGGCCATAATTCGTGCCAAAGGTGATCAATTCGAACAAATTTAAACATATTCTCGAATTTGATGCTATTTCTGACTTTTTTGCCTTCATTCAATAAAATTTAAAAGTTCGGCCAGGCCGAACTTTGAATGCCCTCCACCAATTAAAACTAATTTGACAATTCTCAAAAACAATGAAATCCGTTAAAAATTCTGTTAAAATCTTAAAAATACCGAATGTAGATGTTACATTAGTTATATGGGGCTACACAAAGACGTGGACCTGCATAGACAATTTTCTGACTTAGGCTGTAGTATCCATTTCGAACTTCAAATACCAAATTCGACATAATTCCGGCGAATAAATTCGCTAAAATCATCAAAATACCGAATATCGAGGGGTACCGTTATATGGGAGCTATACGAAGACGTGTATCTGCACAGACAATTTTCTGTCTTAGACCGTAGTATCCATTTCGAATTTCAAATACCAAATTTTATGCAATTCCGATGAATATTGTAGCAAAAATCATCGAAATACCGAAAATCGGGAGGTATCGTTATATAGCGGCTATACCAAAACGTGGACCTACATGGCCCATTTTCAATACCAAAAGTCCGGCAGACATAATATACATTTCAGTAAAATTTTATCAATCTACTTCAAGTCGTTCGGAAGCTAGAGTGATTTCCACAAACGGACAGACGGGCGGACATCGCTAAATCGACATAGATTTTTATGCTGATCAAGAATATATATACTTTGTGGGTTCTAAAATGTATATTTCGAGGTGTTGCAAACGGAATGACATACTAAGGTGAAGGGTAGAAAAATTATGGAGTTTGACTTTGTTTCAGTTTTTTTATCTCACCCTGTATTTGATATTTTTAGCTTACTGACCTCCTAAATTTATGTATTTTTTTTTAATTTTGCTATAAATTTTTTATTTTAATTTTCTTTTCTGTTTCAGAACCCGAAGACATCAACACCCTCCATGGCACTTATCAATATTTGAAAAGCACTGGCCAGGTAAGTCAATGTTCCCAATATTTTGTTTTTTTTTTTTTTGCCATTTAAATTCATTAAAATGCGTAGTATTCAGCATTCGCATAAATCATTAGCAACATTTGCCATTTTCAACGCCAAAAATGGTATGGAGAGCAAACAAAAAAAAAATCGTAATCATTCATATGCATCCTGCATCCGTTTTGGAAAGAGCATTCATCGAACATGGCTATTCCAAAAAAGTATTGAAACGGCTACATCGCTGGTCCTTATCTATCAATTCTCGTGGCTATCCATCATGGTACCTGGCCGTAGCTATGCCCCAGGTATTTGCTGCAGCAGCTGTTGTTAATGTGTTAAATGTTTGAAACGCATTTGCAATATACCATAAAAAGGCCACCTTGAGCGGATGCGATAGATAGATAGATAAATGCCAGCGATTTGGAAATGTTGCATTTTGGTAGCCTTTTTCTATCATCAACATCGCATCTACAACGTATATTAGAAATTCATATAACCGGTGATTGATATGCTTTTGATTGGTAATCATGATTAGTTTCGATTGCATGACTTTGAGAAAACATAACCTCTAAAAAACACAATGACATAAATCTCTTTTGTAGTTTTTTTTTCGAGAAAAATAATTTGGAAAATATCGCCCTATTCCTATCTATTCACCACCACACTGATCCCATACACCTATCCTTTATCACACCCACACACACATACATAAACAACATGTAGAAAATTTAAAAATGGAGAAGCTTAAATGCCTCTTTTTGCCTCTACCTCTCTCGCTATTGGAACATAGCTCTCATCTATGTCATTTAGAATTTAGTTAGTTAAGAGCAAGCTTACAACATCTCTCATAATATATTTTTGCTGGAAAGCTAATGCATCTACCTCTCTATCCTCTCTCTCTCTCTCTCTCTGCCCTATCTCTTTTTGCAAGTCTTTGAACTTTTTACCTATCCTATAACTATCCTATCCCTATCCTATTATCCTATCCTTTGTTTGCTAGTACTTTTTTTGAAATTTTATACCAGGATAACTAACAAACTGGAAAAGAAATCAAAGATCCAAGTAGGAAGGAGAGTTGTAGGTCCTCTGGAATTGAAACAAACAGTTGAGGAGTCTTAGGACAAATTTCTAGCCATAAATACCTTTAGAAATTACATGTTTACAAAATACACATTTTTTTTCTTTTAAACTCCATATCCACCACTCCCCCCACACACATCCTTCTTCCCTGCCAACGAACAAAATGGGCGTACGAAATTTTAAAAAAATCAAAATTACACAGCAGTTTCCCGAGAAACTTAAAAAAAAATCGACCAATATCAGAAACAAATACGAACCTCTTCTCATTAAACGTCGAATAAAAACGCTTTCATTTGACCATGTGAAACGCGCATCAAAAGCTCTTCTCAAGAGAAAAAAGCACAAATAAATGTTCTCTCACTTCATTACAAATGTATGTAACTACTATGTGTTTATTTAGGTTAAGCTTGTAAAAAAACAACTTTACTTCGCGAAAAGCTTTTAAGCTTCCAGAAAAAAAGCTTTTTTGTCTTAAGTGTAGATTAAAAAAAAAATGCAATTTATTATCCCGCCAAAACAAAAATGTTCAACTACTCCGAGGTAAGTAAGAATTTCGAAATGGTGTTACTCTAAAATGACCATATAATTTTAAGAAAAATTTAATGTGATCGGAAATCTGGTTTTGTTTATGTATATTCTGGAATGTTTTGGAAGATTTTTCTCATCATGGTCTTCTGGTCCTTATGTAGTTTTTCCTCATATTTGATTTAGGCGAATTGGGAGCTCTGAATTAAAAATTCTCTTAATATTGCACTTTTTAAGGTTTTCCAGGGAATGTAGTTTCCCTTTGGCACCTAGGGTGGTGTAGTAGTATTTTTTTCATTATCCGCTAAGAACACCTGATGGAACTTGTCTTAGATTATATTGGGATAATTCAAAATTTCGTTACTTACGAAATTTACAACGGAACTTTGGTGTTCTAAAAGCAGATAACTGGAACAACCTCTGCTATCGGCCACTGCATAGCGGAACTCGTTCCCATAGTTCCAGTTTGCGTAAGATGACTTGCCCATACTCCTTTGTAATTTTTCTATTCTACAAAGTTCAGACTATTTCTACAAAATTAGCATTCTTTGCTGAAGAATGACCAACCTTTTTATTTTCGAGCTCACTTTGTGATCCAATTCCTTAGAGTTCGTGAGATGGGCTCCTCTGACAGGTTATTATTGAAAATTTTTAATGCGGGAATTATTTTCCCTCGTTGTATTCACCATCGTTACTTACGAAATTCCTCAACGGAACTTTGGTGTTCTAAAAGCAGTTTGCTAGAACTGCCCCTGCTATCGGCCACTGAATAACTGAACTCGTTCCTATAGTTCCAATTGGAGAAAATGGTATAACTTGCCCAGTTTCCGCTGCGATTTTCCTCTTCGACAAAGGCCAAAATATTTTTACAAAATCACCCATCTTTGATAAAAAATCGCCAATCTTTTTATATTTGGACTCACTTTGTGATGCTATTACAAAGGGTTCGTGAGATAAAAAAATCAAAATATCCATCGTTAATTCGTAAAGTCCTCAACGAAACTTTGGTATTCTAAAAGGAAAATGCTAAAACCACCGCTGCTATCGGTCACAGCATTGGGGAACTAGTTCCTATAGTTCGAATTTGCGTAAGATGGCTTCACTTTCCCAGTCTCCGCGGCCATTTTCCTCTTTGAAAAAGACCGGGATATTTTTACAAAATCCCTAGTCTTTGCTAAAGAATTACCAACCTTTTTATATTCGGACTCACTTTGTGTTCCTTTTCTGAAGGGTTCGTGAGATGGGCTCCTCTGATGTATTTTATCGAAATTTTTCAATGCGGGAATTCTTTTACTCTCGCAATATCCACCATATTGTTAGCCTCCTTGTTAAAAGCGATTTTCAAAAAATGCATATGCATTGCCGTCGAACTTAAGACCTCGATGGAAATTCATTTTTCATTAACCTTCGACGGATATCGGCAGCGTTCGACCAGCTAATGAATCAACGACCCCAATCTCTTCTGGACTATTTAACCCATACACTGTAATTTTTTAACCTTGGCTGACTTTTTTGTGAGGAATACCACCGTAGTCAGTTATGAGACTAGGAAATTCATTTCCATTGTTCGCACTGATTAAACAAATAAAAAATGTCCGAATTTTATATACCTCCACATACCTCCTTATATACCGGGTAAAGTAACTGATTTGAAAATAAAACTAAAGGTGAGGGTACATAAGCAGCTTGGCATCATGGCTGGGCATATTAATGTCAAATTATTAAAGGAAATGACGGCGGAGTTCGAGTGCGGCTCTGACATCCCTTTATGATATGTCACAAAATATCCAATATAAAGACTTCAAGCTATTTATGTACTCTCACCTTAATGAGCCAGTTGCATTAAAAAGTTGCACGTAGTAATTAGTGAGACATAGGTTGACTTTGGAGATTGAGAAGTGAAAACCAGTTTCATATGTGTTGCCGTCGAAATCAGAGCAATATGGTGAAGCCTGGATCGAATTTGATTTCTTTCAAATTCGACGGGTGACGAAAGTGTATGTTTCAAAGCCCTACGGTACTGGACGTTTTAACATTTTTACTTGGCCGACTTTATCCACAAAATTATTTTTTCTTTCTTTGGTCTGTTTTGGGACGCGAAAATACACGATTCTCAAAGGTCGGAACGTCAAAGAAGCCACCTCTAGATTATACAAATAAAAAATTCCCAATTTTTTATACCCCCACACCGGTTAAAGTAACTGCTTTGGAAATAAAACAAATGAACCAGTTCCAATGAAAAGTTGCACGTAGTAATTAGGGAGACATAGGTCGATTTTTGACATTGAGAAGTTAAAACACGTTTTATACGTGTTGCCTTCGAATTTAGGTATTTATTTTTATTGTTGTCAAAGTCAGAGATAAAGTCGATAAGTTTCAGTGAAGCCAGGATCAAAATTGAATTTTTATCAACTTCGACGGATAACGACAGGGGATAATTTTTCACCCTCCAGTACTGGAAGTTTTTACTTTGATTGACTTCCTTAACACGAGATATTTTTTGTTTATGGAGAACTCCACCGTTTGCGTCGGGAAAATACAGGATTTGCCAAATCTCTCAATTACTTTTGCCAACCAGAGCGTCGAACAAGGCACCCCTAGATTTAAAAAAACCCACACAACGGATAAAATATTTGTCTTCGAAAATAAAACAAATGCGCCAGTTCCATTCAAAAGTACACCTGGTAATTAGGTAGGCATAGTTCGAGTTTTGACATTAAAATTTTCTATGCTTTGCAGTCGAATTCAGACTGTAATTTGATGACTTTCAATAAAGTCTAAATCGAAAATTAAATTTACTTGTTTTAAATGTATATCGGGAAGGTAATACCCGCTAAAAGGAAAACAATAAAAAAAGTGCCTGTAGTACCAATTCCAAATATATCAGATACGAAATTTGAAACAATTTCGATGAATAATGTCGCTAATATTATCAAATTTGAAACAATTCCGCTGAAAAATGTTGCTTATATCGTCAAAATACCGAATAAAGGGAGGTCTTGTTATATTTTTGCCATAGGAACTTTAAACACGAAATTTGAGTATTAATTAATACATCCTCCAGAATATCTTCGCGACAATATTCGGCATTTATTATAATGCCACGGTCGATTAATACGAGCGGAGAGCGACCATCAGCTGTTATGGCGGCCCTCACCATCACCGCGGCCGGCGCTTGAGTTCTGGTGACAAACCGATGGTGCAAGTTTTCAGCTGATCAGCACGATCATCTTGCTGCTGGACAACGAATGTTTTCTCATCGGAGAAAACCAAATTTGGCAGTTCACCACTTTCAACCAAACGAAGCAACTCTTTAGCTCTTTTGAGTCTATTTTCTTTCTGCTGCGGTGTAAGTTCTTGCACTTTTTGAAATTTCAATGGCATTACCCTGAGCTCAT